GAAAATTGAGGTAAATTAGATAATGAAGTTTGATTTCATTTACTTTATTTCTCTGGATTGCATCAAACAAATCGGAACTTGTCACTTTTAGTCATCTTTCCTTGTTGAAATAGCTGTACATAGATGCGAACGATTCAGGAAAGCATTTTTGACAAGGTATCTTTGGTAGACAGATCCTTTACATTGTTATATTTTGAAACCTTAGCACTTTTCTGTTACAGCCTGACTTAATGATCTCATAAATGATTAGTTATATTACAAATTCATTCAAATTTCCAAAAAACTGTATCTTTAAATATTCTTTTTTCTAAAATAGGTGAATGCCACACATTATAGTAGTATTGGTGAATGGATAGATAGTGCCGATATAGAATATGTTAATATTGGTTTGGTATCCTGTTCATTACCTAAAGCTGGATACTATATGATACGTGCCTCCAATAATGGACTGGACTACAGTAATGAAGTTTTCTACTTCGCCAATGATAGAGATTGTTACAATTGTAATACCACCGAAGGAACTTGTGCTCAAAGGGTAAATACAACTTTCATATTTTTTGCTTAACAAATTAATAATATGTTGGTTTTTGCTGGACATTAATTATGGCCTACTTTGAAGTAACTGGGGTTAGTTGTAAAATGATAATTATGTTGGGTGTATTTATGTTTGTATGCAGTATGTGAATTTTAACATCCCACAGAATGTTAAATATGAATTTTGTGTTGGTTATTTAGGATAATGTATGATGTGATATCTTGTGTTGGTTATTTAGGATAATGTATGGTGGGATATCTTGTGTTGGTTATTTAGGATAATGTATGATGGGATATCTTGTGTTGGTTATTTAGGATAATGTATGATGTGATATCTTGTGTTGGTTATTTAGGATAATGTATGATGGGATATCTTGTGTTGGTTATTTAGGATAATGTATGATGTGATATCTTTTGTTGGTCATTTAGGATAATGTATGATGTGATATCTTGTGTTGGTTATTTAGGATAATGTATGATGTGATATCATGTGTTGGTTATTTAGGATAATGTATGATGTGATATCTCTATGAATTTTGTATTTAGGATAACAATAACATATGATATCATATATTGTGTTTGTCATTTTAGGATAATGAATGTATCATTGATGAAAAGTGTCATTTTGTGTTTGTTGTTTAGGATAACATATAATATTTGTGTTTGTTGTATGATAATGAATGTATCATAGATGGAAAGTGTTATTTTGTGTTTGTTGTTTAGGATAACATATAATATTTGTGTTTGTTGTAGGATAATAAATGTATCATTGATGAAAAGTGTCATTTTGTGTTTGTTGTTTAGGATAACATATAATATTTGTGTTTGTTGTAGGATGTATTATAGGTGGAAAGTGTTATTTTGTGTTCGTGGTTCAGGATATCATGATATTATGATATATTGTGTTTGTTATTGTAGGATAATGTATTA